TGGTGGTGATTGGTTTGCTGGCCCTTCTTGTGGCGCCCAGTCTTGGGGCAAACTCTATGGAAGGCGTTGAGAAGCTCCTGATCGTTCGGGGCCTACGGTTGTTGAGGCTAGTGAGAGCATTGAGGACCGCTCACTGTGCCTGGTTGGCGCTTTGCTGACGCCACTGCCCACGAAATAGTATGCACAATGGATGTAGAACCGAACTGCATGTTTGCTTCCTTAGGGTATGTTATGGTGTATACGTGCGTGCTCCAGTTGTTGACACCAGTCCTGATTACCAGTGCCCTAGAGGGATCTAGTGGGGTGATCCAATGCCATGGCAACCAGCTCAGATCAAGCAAGGGTTTTTTGTTTTCTTTGTTCTTCTGCAAGGGTCATGAGTCATGGTGATGTTTGGGCACTTTGGTTGTTTCTTGTGCGGGAAGCTGATAGTTCCCATGACTTGACATATCTGATGCTTCAGCATTCATTTATAGTTCTTGTTCTTCAAGTGGACTACGATCCCACATGCTTCGGAGGATGGTGAACCATTTCAAGATTATGTGGCGGCTTGTCTATGGCCTTCTTACAGCAGCAGAGACTATCCTGGCCACGAGCGGTTTGATACTGGTCTTCCTTTTTGTGTTTCCTGACATTGCTTGAATTTATTTGTGTGTTCATGTTCTTTTTATTGACGCCGCATGTATACACATATTCACACTGCAATGTGCCCCTCTAAGATTCCGTTCCGCAGATTGTGCTTGACTGATTCGATAGCGAATATTCTTCAAGTTTCGCCCACTATGAATTACTAAGGTGCTCCTGTGTCGCTATTGAGGTGATCGGAAAGGATGATGATCTAAAAAGACAGATGCCAGAGCTGATCGATGAATTCTTTGGCTCATTGTTCAAGTCAATCCTGACGCTCTTGCAGTTCGTGACGCTAGACTCCCTAGCCACCGTTTACTTGCCATTGTCTTTGGAGCGGCCAATCCTCCTGCTCTTCTTCATGCCGATGTTGATTTTCATATCTATTGGCCTTATGAACCTTATAACGGCAGCTCCTCGCTTTCATTTTAGTCATTTGTCATTTGTCCTTGTAAAGTTTATGTCCTGCTTTGCTGGCAGTCATGTTTTAAGCGACAACGCTTGCCCTTGCCACAGCATCCATGTTCAGACAAGGCCTTAGTGGAAAATGCTATGGAGCACGCTGCTCAACAGGCCGAAGAGGAAAAATTGCTCCTCAAGGGGAAAATAAGAGGTGCGCTGCCTTCCTTGCTGAAGATTTTTAACACCATTGACAAGGATGGCAGCGGCATGATCACCCGAGATGAGCTAGTCAATGTCCCTGTGGACATTCTGCCACCGAAAGTCCTTGCAGCCGTTTGTGTCGACAATTGGGAGGAGCTTTTCGAGTATTTGGACGTGGACGGCACACAAAGCTTAAGTCAGGTCGAGTTTGTGGAAGGCTTGCTAAATCTTTGCCTGTTGGACATGCCCATTGCCACCATACAGACCCTGAAGCTCTTGCAATTAATTAAGACCTCAGTGCGCTCGATTGAGTCGAAGCTCCACTCACTGAGAAATGTTCCAAAGTCATGAATCGAAATAAAAAAACAAAGAAACAGCTCCAGCCGATGGCTCATTATCCGAATTTGATGTTGTAATATGTTGTAATAGCGAAGGAAGAGCCCATTTTTTGTTACATCAGCTTGGCTGCCCCATCTCAACGTCTCACCAGTGAAAGTCTCAGCATGCCTTTGTGCTTGTGCCCATTTCGAAACAGAAATGGTATTCAGCACGCTGCAGGCTCATTTGGGAACTTTAGAGTAAGGATCGAAAAGGCCAAAGGTTACCATTCATTGATACTTGTTTAATCAAATACAGTATTCCTGAGCTCCCCAGCTCAGCATCAAAGACTTGCAGTTTTGGGCCACCTCAGCAGCCTGCAGTGCTGGCAAGTTTGTGTGCGCACAGGTGCGCACAAATGTTCAGCATTGAGCGTGTTCATTCACCACCTTTCGCATGTAGTTCCTGCTTCAAAGATAGCAAAAAGACAACTTCATCAATTATCGAGCTGTTGGGCAGATTCGATGTTCAGGATGCATCGGATGCATGGGTGATCATCGAGATGTTTAACAGAGCAGAGAGTGCGTCCGATCGCCTAGTAGCGACCTACTTAACAGCTACTAGCGACCTACTAAGCATACCCCTCTTACCATGTTTTACCATGTCCTACCCCTCTTGCTTACTTAGCATATCTTAGCACACTTGCAAGCTACCTACCGGCCTACCCGTTTTGACTAGTTGTAGAGTAACTATATACTATAACACCTTTTTTTTGATTGAGGTGATTTCACTGTTTCGATGCTGAGAAGAAATAGACCCCCCTAATTGGGTGCTCCGAAACTGAGAGCGAGTCGGGCAGGAGACGCCTGTGAACTTGTCCATTTCTGCTCCTTTGCAAGACATTGGAAGACATGTACGGCCCAGGTAATGAGGTCAGAGAATGACATGAACCGGTATATTATTCAGTTTGCATTCTGAATGCCAATCCAATTTTGTGTTCTAATGCAAGATTCTTTTTCGTTTGGCATAAGAATGGCAATGAACCAGTAGCCTGAAACGCAAAGAGAGGAGTTCAGTTGTGTGCCTGAGGCCTTGGTATTGGTATCCAACATAGTGGGTCTTTTCTTCTCCCTGGCTTTGCTCTTCTACCCCATGCATGCTGAATTACATGAGGCATGCTGCCGGGTTGCAAGACTATGAAATCAAGCGTGATGTACAGCAAGCTTGAGTGAGTGACTTGTGTTTGCTTGATGAATTTGTGCGCAACGCAAGTGTACAGCCTGACAGACTGAATGGACCATGCCGGGGATAGCATGGGCCTTGGCATCTTGCTTCGGAGGCAGGGCCAAGACCATCCCGGTGCTATCCCATTGCTTGCAGTATGCTAAGTGTGGGGTTGAAAAGCGCACCAGCAGCTGGCCATTTTGCCCATTTCGATGCTGCACAGGTGCTGCAATTGCTTATGCAGGCATTGGCTTATCCCGGAATTTAAGCGCTACGGGCGCATTGGTGGTCACTAATATCGAGACTGGAACGCATTGGAACCTGGCATGTAGAGTGGTTGGCTACTGATAAAGGAGACACTGCTTGAAGGTCGCTGTGCACTGGCTTTCTGTAAGGATAAGGTTTTGGTGCTTCTGTACGGCATTTTGATGCACCATGTCAGCAAGAGTTTGATTTCAAGTTTCCCTAAATTACCCTAAAGATCTAAAAAACCAATCATTAGTGCGAGCGTTATCCTGCGTCCATACTAGTAGCTAGCTACCTAGCTACTAGCTACTAGCTACCTAGCTACTACCTACCTGTACTAGCGGCCACCCTTCATTAAAAAGAAAACTTCACTACTTAATTTTCGAACATTGGATTCATCACGTGCCACTGTGGCCCCATGTGACTCCAAGGCTGGGCGACCGCTTCACCACTCCAAAGATAGTTGGTGGTACTCTGGCTTTGCTGGGAGGCTCACTGAATCACTGAGCTAAAGAACTCTACGCCGCTGCTTTGTTCCGAAAGGAATAGGCAGGTTTGCTATGGTTTGCTCATAGAACCTGTTGGATCATTTTGTGAGGGGAATGTGTCAAAGGAGGAAAGCTGGAAAGGTGAGAATCATGTCCGTGACTTGCACTGACCCTTCATGACCCTTCGCTTCTAACAAGCCAGCCTGTGATCTAACGGTGCAGATGGACAAGGCTTAAAAAGACAATGCTCCGCGAGAAGAACATAGAAGAAAAAGGTGCAGGGATTGCTGCATAAATACTTAGAACTACGGCATGCAGGTTCCTTAACATAGACATAATCAAAACCGAGCTCGAAAAACATGAAGACCATTGTCAAAAAGTTGATGAACGCGTGGTGGTGGCAGGCACTTGGCATGCGTGGTCACGCCTACGCACTGGAGAGGTGAAGAAGCAGGAATCCAAGGAGGCGAACGTAAAATACAAAGTCAGAAAAATAGGGTCCAACAACCTTTTAAGCTGTTTGCTTGACCTGTTTCGGATCCCAATTCTTTGATCATAGCGTGGGTATGCATATAGGTTTGCAGCACTCAATTGGCCCATTGTTGCTAGGTTTGGGATGGTTTCGGAGTTTCGGTTCGCTTCATGGGAAAGCATTTGAGCTCGTACTGCTGGTTCAAACTGTTCCAGGCTCAAACTGCTAGTAAATGCTGGTGATATCTAGTAACTAAACTTGGCTTGGCCAATGCAACTGTCTTTCCCAAGTGATGCCCTCCATGGTGTCCTGTGTTTCCCTCCAGCAGGTGCATTTAATGGCTTTCGTCGGAGATCAAGCTCAGCCATGATGGTGCCAAGTGGTTTGAAGTTTCTTTGTTTTGTGGCAGAAGCCCGCACTGTGCTATTTGGACATTAGAGTTTGGTCCGTTGGGCATCCCCGCTGTTTCCGAGAATCCCTCGAACAGCGACAAGCTGTAGTCATTGTAGAGCAATATTCTGAAGGACGTATGCACAAGCTGTGCGTCACGGGTTTCACCTTTTGCCACAAGTTGTGCCTAGGCCATTCAGGTCACATTTTGAGAATGGCGACGGGCAGCCGGCGGCAGCCGCTGTGCTGTTCCAAACTGCCTTTGCCTGTTCAATGTCGGCCACGAAGCCGTCCGTTCTGTTTTTGTACAGAGTGAGAGCTGAGGCCTTATCAGTTAATAAGGCCCGAGTCCTCAAAGGCTGGCCCAGCCCAACGCTTCTTGGAAGAAAAGAGTAACCTCACTATCGCTATATCATGTTATAACATGTTATAACTTATAACTATGATTAATTATGTATAATCTGGAGCCAGCAATCGGTCGGGCCGAAATAGTGGTGAGTCATCATTCCCAAGATCAGCAAGTGCAATTCACAAATTCTTTACTATATATATATAATACTAACTAATTGTCAACAAGCTACAAACCACCAACCGCTCATTGCAGAAGTTCAGCTTGCAATGCACTCTTGCAGGATCCCTACCGTGCAGCGCTGCAAAGAAAGGTTGCAGATGCTCTTGGGACGTAAAGACAGAAAGTTGGAAGAACTCCTTGCATAGGAGTTCATGCATTCCCACAAATGTCGGGCATTTGAGTCGTGAGTCATGGATACTACCGGCAGCTGCTGAAGTAATAGGATCCTGCTTGATCATTGTGTATGCTGCCCTGTTTCTTCGGTGATTGTGCCACAGTGCAGCCTCGTGACATTTGTAAGTGCACAATGCAGCTTGGAAAACTGCACATGTCATGATATCCAAGGATATCGTTCAACGTATTTCCGCATCTTTACGCAGAGGCCCGTGTTGAAAAAACGATAAAAGAACGGTACTAGTAGGATGTTTCTTAAGAAATGAAGGGCAACTTTTGTGCAGAATCTATTTACTGGCAGTGATCTAGGCAGGCACGCCATCGGTGCAAAGCCCTCACTCCACTGCAAGCCAGTTTTTGGCATGCAGGCACTTCAGTGCTTGGCTGTTTGTTATGTGACTTGTCATGTGGCAGGCGGATACAAACCTCAAGACTTGTTCAGCAGCCTGGCCAGCGTGAACACATGACTTGTGGGTTGGGAATGTTGCTTTGCCAACAAGGGGCATTGCTACGACTGCTGCAACCTTCTCAGAACATAAGTTCTATCACTTTGCAAGACTAAGGTAAGCTGGATGCAGACGGAAGTGGACAGCTATCTCGACAGGAGTTGGACTCCCAATGTGCCGTTTTTGGACATGATGCGACAAGTTGAAAAGGTGCAAATACGGTAGATGCTGTGCGACTGAGGCTGCTAAGCATCATCCTGCGTTTAGAGCCAGGCACGCCAATGCTAAGAGCACCTTGCTAAATTGACCAATGGGTCCTCGAACAGACAGGCAGACAGGCAGACACATGATTCATTTGGTTGCCCATAGTACTCATGACTCATAAATGTATACTCATAAACTCATAATATATACATCTTTATGTGCGCTACAGATCCAGCTTGCAGGCTTTGTGCAAGGGTTTTCTTTTGGCTCGGGTTTGTTCCTTTCAAAGCTTGCCAGGCCTGTCTCCTGCAGAGCAAGAGGCAATTTTTCAGCGGTTTGATGCTGCCCAGCACCCAGTTTTCTTTGCACGTCTCTCAAACTCCTGCACACGCTGATGTTGGGTGAGGACGGAAGTGGGTGCGTTTCTTGGGCTGAGTTCTGGGAGACGATCCAAGGCACTGAGTACAGCAAGCACATGAGGGATCACGAGGGTATGCTTCTACTTTTGCCAGGTACTGTACACAAGGATGCCATCAACCACACACAAACTTGCGGACACGTCCACGTCACGCCCCTAAAAGTCCTTCCACATATATGGGTACTCTAGGGTAGGCAATGTACACCAAGACAAGTATACCACAACACATGCAAAATTGCCACAAGAAACGACGCGACCGGCATAATACACAGTCAATATTCAAGATCACTTGTGAATTATTGTGGGAAAACCGACATATCTATATAATTAGCCTACGAAAGCGAATGCAAGTCTTGCTCTAGGCGAATACATTTTTGTTACTCTCTGATAAAGATTATGGCGATTGACAGGTGTACTGTAGTATCATATTCAATTTCTGCACAAGTCAAGTTTGGGACGAACGGCGCTCGAACCTTCAGAGGATATACTTGTGCTGCATATGAGGCATAAGTTTTAAGCAACTCGCGAGCGAGTGTTGTTTGGGGTAGCGTCGGTCGTGCAGCAATTCCCTAATATCAACCTAAAGCATCCTAAAGCAGAGCCAATGGGTGGAAGTTTCAAGAAAGGACTTTAGGAAGTATTTGTTCGATCTTGTTCGCTCCTTTGCCTCTCAGTAGTCAGGAAAGCCGTTTGTGTTTCAAATTTGACTAAGAGCGGTCGGTAAGTGGTGCGGTCTGAGCCTTGAGCTGGCTAAATGGTGAGTCTTTGCATTGCAAATGCGCTGGCTTTTATGTTTCCAAATGTCCAGCTAAGCTCGCCAACGCAAAGTGTTGAGCTAGCCAAGTCCTGAGGTAGCACACTGCTCACATAAGTTGATAAAGCATGATACACTAAGTGGGGACTTGAGCTAGCTGGTAGTGTTGGTATGTCTTTGACTATTGCATTCCTTGTGTGTGTATGATTGTGTATGTATATAAATGCATATTATGTGTGTGTGTGTGATTTTTGCCCTAGCACCATTTTTGCTCCCTGTATGGGAGTTGATCTAAACGTGCGTGTAAGATGTTCTTTTAGATGCTGTCCAAACAGTCCGTGACAGATCCGCGATGAGGCCGCGAAAGATATGCAAATGATATGTTTGATATGTTCTGTCCGCGGGGAATTGCAATTCAATTCCATCATGAAAGAATTTGTTCAACCACTATCAATATATGCATCTACATATATACAGTAAAAGCTATGACTGATGCACACATGGACATGTTCCCACAACATGCAGCTCTATCACCACGCAAACGTGTTTGGCACCGCGTTTCGCGCATGATTGCTCTCTAGATGCTGATGATTAAATGAGCACTTCGCTCCACGTGTGTGTTTGCCTGAACTGCCTGTCTCGTCTAATTATAGATGTTTTCTAATCACACGCCCTGTCCAACTATTTTTTTTTTGGCCTCCGCAATTCGGACATGTTCTACTTCTCTTCACAAGTCAGAGCACCTTCATTGCATCAACATATGGAAAGCGGAGCATTCCTTCATGAGTAGGCATCTGAGTTCGGTAGCCCATGCTAGCCATAAATGTGGGCGCAATAACCTGAAAGGCGGTGCGCAGCCGGCACTGGCATCGACAGCTCCTACTATGTCGCTGACACCTCTAGCACCAGGCAGTGATTGCACAACGAATAGTTGCCTCATTTTGCGCCACAGATCGCCACAGCTAAAGGAGGATTCACAGGTTGAGCATCCAAAATATCGGCTTGAGAACCCGCCGGCGTCCACAGGTGCGCGTCTTGCGGCAACAGCTCCGGTTGGATACCTATTAGCATCTCTTAGCGGCCGGCCATTCTTAATGCATGTTCATATTCATGGATTCATGTGCTCATAGTCGAAGCCCATCAGGCATGCTAGTGGGAACAGACTAGAGTCTATAGAATATTACTCAAGTTGTCGTGCTTCAGGCTCAAACGCCAGTTGCTGTTCAAGCTGGTGGTTTTGATCAAACAATTCATCCTCAGGAGCGCTGAAACTGTGTCATACCCACATTCTTGCGTTGATACAAACAAAGTCCTGCATGGATGCAAGGAGCTTCAGCGACAACGCGCTCAAGCAGAGGACCGTTCTTCAAGCACAAAGGGGAGCTGCGAATTATTACACTGATATCACACAGGAGATTTGCAGGCTGTGCCCACTCACCAAGTGGCAGCTAGCAGAGCACAGCAGTGCAAAACAAGCAGGTATACTCGGTGTTGGGATTTGTGTCGCTGTCAGTGAGGGTGTGTGTGTGTGTGTACACACTTTGGAGCCAGAAGTAGTCTGCGGACATTTACTGTATACCTGGCCAGCCATTACTCGTTTTTGATTCTTTTGCCGGGAGCTTGAAGTCACCCTCAGCGAAGACACTTTAAATTTGCATATAATTATATAAATCTGCCGTGATTTTGCATTTCTGGCCTTTGCACCGGCTGTGAGTCTGTCACGCTCTCGTCGATCGATCGTTTCGTCACGTTTCGTCCATGTGCATTCCCGACTTTGAACGTGATTTGATTTCTTCAGTTATGTTTATTCGTGTGTTGAGCGCTTGGGGATGCTTTGGGATGCTATGGTTGGACACGGCTGCATGTCTACCCGACCTCTTGACTCTTGAGTCTCAGCCTTTTCTTTTACCAAGGTTTCTTTAGGGCCTGTGGCATTGAAGTCGTACGCGCACTAAGCTCTTGTGTGTGTGTGTCCGACCTGTGGTGCTTATGACTCCTGAAGGCGTCGAAGAGACGTAAGTGTTGTGGATGTCATTTGGTCAAAGTCGGGGCCGAGAGGGGCTGTTGTTGGAGTGCTTTTAATTAGAGTTTAATTCGATTCTAATTCTAATTAATCTATATTTATATACTTATTGTTTCTACTAGTTTCTTGTTACTAGTAGTACGGCTAGGAGCCCCTAGTAGCGTCCTTTTTTTCTTGGGGGAGTTGTTCGTCTTAGTCTTCCAACTTGAAACGCGCAAGTTTCACAATGCGCGCACTCAACGCTACGTAGTCACTAACTATTAGATGCTTTACAACTGCTTCTCCTCCATCGCTCCCACCGCTTGGGACTTTGCAGGAAATCCTGGCCCGAATAGCAGCGACCATCTCGCGGAGTGGCCGGAGGCTGGTTGCTGGAGCACTGCATTGCTGCATTCCCAATCCGCTCGTATCCACTTAATGGGAACGGTTGCAACTTGCAGGACAGCTTCCCACCAGCCGATTGAACAATAATGAACACTACAGCGTCCAAAAATTTTCAACACATGCCAAACATATCAGATATCATTCAACTAGGTAAAAAGAGTGTTTAAATGTAATTAATTCACTCACCCCAAAACATGTACAGTTTGGTATCAATTTGTTTGTTGAATGCTATAGGGGCATTGACCGCGTCAGGCAACACAAGAAGGCCCCAATCCTGTTTTTTGTTGGTTGGTGACATGTTTTTATCACTGTTGTCGGCAAAGTTGCCGATCAAGATCCCTCACAACAGCGTCAGCTGCAGATTTGTCTAATATTATATAGTTTTTTCAAACCCAGGTTTGTCACCAAAAGCAGGGCGAGTCTACAAAGCAACACAACCACCTCCCACCAAACACCGGTTGTGCGCAAAGGTTTGTCATAGCCTCGGCACGTTTATTTCTTATTGTTTTATGAATTGTGGCACGTCTATGTTCAATGAGTTGGCGGGCCAGCCACTTAGTACCTTCAGTCATGGTTTTCATCCCAGGCCGCAAGAGTTTCTTCGCGATGTCCGTGGAACGCTTACCCGGGGTGAGTTGCTAACTCAGATGACGTAATGTTGTGTTGTACTGGTACTAACGTTGCTTTAATGTTGAGTTTCCCGTTTTGGGGAGATAATTCTTTGGCACAAGGGTGGAGCAGACAATTTTTCGGTTTGAGCTGGGGCCCTAGCTTTAATGTTAAAGTTCAGCAGACATTAAAGCCTAAGAATTTGAATTGAGGCCCACCTTATCAGCCTACGAGCGAGATGCAATTATCATGCGCTTGGGGGCTGATGGCAGCTGGGCATGTACAGATTCATTGCATGTAGCACTCTACCGACGCAAATCCTATATTATGGGTCAATCCAGCAACTGACTACTGTGATCCAGACCTTGTGTGAGGATACGGCAACGTCAGTGCGGCAGAGTTTTGTCGAATTCTTGGAGGCAGGTGCTCAAACATAGTCGCGAAGGGCATGCACAAAACCCACTACAAAGCTAGGAGTTAGCTTGCCTCAGGCGATTTGTCGCAGGCAGCGGGCCAGGGAGCTGCTTGGTTGCAGTACAGAATTCCTCCAGCTCCTGACTGGTGAAGCAATTGCAGATGCTCAAACAAAAGGAAGCTGTCACTATGCCAAACAACACATGGGAAGCAGAGGAATCTGTTGTTGCATCCGTCAAGGTGCAACCTGTGGCCGAAGTGCCCGTCGGCATGGCTCCGCAGGATGGTTCGCGCAAGATGTGTCATGGTACGATGCTGCCATCATGACAATCCATTTGTGCCGTTGCTTTTCTTTGTTTTTTCTTTATGAGTCAGTCATGAAAGGGATTTGAGCGATTCTTGTGACCTGATCATTGTCCATCTTATCTCAGGAGCTTTTGCGACAAGTGGCCACAGAACTCCGGCGCAGTGGAGCAGGGGTCCTGGCATAGAATCCACCACCGTGGTAGTATTGTTTGTTTGTTTGTTTGTTTGACTTCTTCTTGGTTGAGCTCTAAAATGACCTAAAGTGATTGTATATAAAGCCATAGCATTGCCATGTTGGCCAGGCGGCCAGAGTGTGAGACAAGCAAACCACACCAATTGGAGAGATTGGCTCATGCCACAAGAGCGGGCATAAGAAAAAGACTCCAGCCAGCACCAAGAAGAGTCGAAGATGTTAAAAGGAGCTTTGATCAAAGCAACACAAGCATCAAAGATCATCGAAGCACATAGCAGGATTACATAATGGATGTAAAGAGCATCAATTAGGGGTACATAATGAAACTCATCAAGCACATCAAAGAAGCTGCACCTTTGTAGTTCTTGTCATGGCGTCTTGGGATGTGTCAGCCGTGGGGCGCTGGCTTGAGACTGCAGGCTTTGAGGACCTGGTCTCTCGGTTTGAAAACGAACAGATTGACGGCGAAGTGCTCCACCGTTTGACTCTCGAAGAGTTGCAGCTGTTGAAGATACCTCTCGGCCGGGGCAAGAAGCTCCTCGATGCCGTCACCGAATTGAAGGCTCATCAGAGAATGTCTCAACCTCGATCGACATGATGCCAAGCGCCTGCCTCCTTTGATTTCTCCGTCCTCAGACATGGCCAGTGCGTGTCTGTGTCAGGTGATTTTGCTGATGGGACCGCCGGGGACCGGAAAGTCGACACTTGGAAACAGACTGGCAGAGAAGATGGGGGGTGAGCATTTTGACCTTGGTGAGCACCTGCGGAGTGAAGGAAAGTCAGGACAGCCACAGACTATGCTTTTGAACTTCTTGGGGGCTGCAGTGGAGAAGGGAAAGAAGAGGGCTGCACTGGGTTTGGGTCCACATATGGCATTCATCAATGGTTTTCCAAGAATGATGGATGGCTTTGAATTTTGGGAAGAATTGGAAAAGGTGGTCAAGCCAAGCCTCGTCCTTGTTCTTGAAGCACCCGATGATGTGCTGAAAGCGCGAGTGATTGACAGAGCTCGGCCTGATGATCAGAAGAGTTTCGAGGAGAGGTTGACCTTTTACCGACGCCAAACTGATCCAGTCATAACTGCATTCCATGATACGGGGCGAACGCGGTTCATTGACGCGACAGGAAGCATCGAGTTTGTTGAGGCTTCTGCCATCTTCCATTTGCAAACAGCGGTCTTGTTTGCGTGCGGCCAGCCGGAGATCTATGGTAAAGTATGTGATGAAGTGGTGGACCTTGGTTTGCCCTACCAAGTCACCTGCCTTGATGTTGCAGAAGTGCTTGGAGATTCTCAGGTGGTGGTGGACAAGATTTTGAGTGTGGTCCGCGAAAGGCCCGGTTCAGTCATCCTTCTGAAAGGATTTCCAAGAACTCAGGAGGATTTGAAAGCATGGCGACTTGTGGAAGTGCTAATGGTACTTGACTTTGACTCTAAGATGGACTTCTCCGGCTACTTTACACGTGGGTTCAAAGATGCAGGACCTGCTACAAGAAACACTGTCAGCCAATTGATTCGGAGCTGCCAGCCTTTGCATGTAGCTGTGCCATTTGCTGCCACAGGGCTGCTGAGGAATTGGATGGATGCAGCAAGATATATTCAATGGTGGGACCCCAGCAAGTTTGAAAGCTTTCAACCTCAATATGCTGGGTATCTCAAGGACCAAGTGGCCAAGCACAAAGGCATGCCATCATTATATGTAAGGCCATCTGACAGCCCACCACTTGACGCATGGTTGTTTTGGCTGACACATCTTCTGCATGCAGGCTCATATGAAACGTATTGCGATAAAGTTTTGCACCGCATGGTTGGCCCCCTGCCTCCACCGGTGTCTTCCGGTCTGACAAAGACCCTGGAGCGCAAGAAGTTTGCAGCCGTCACAGGCAAAATGCTCTTGGATTCTGATGCCTTGGCAAGTGCTCCTTTGGCCTTTGTCGATGGCTTGGCCTCCTTGCACAATGCTGGCTTATTTCCCATGAGTGACCCGCGAGCTCTTTGCTTTGGTTCCTCCGAACCCGGCAGCATTGCCAATGAACTTATGCTTCTTTTGGCTCTATATTACCGGCGCTTTTTGATTGTCATGGGTGAGGCTGGCGAACACAGCAAGGCTGGGAGCACGGCTGGACAATGCTTTTGTTCGATGATTCATGTTGCTTGCACATTCCTGAACTCTTTTGTAGCAGCAATAGACCGCTCAGTTGCTATTCCAAAGGGAAGTTTGTTGCTTTGCGTTTTCATTTGGCTTGCCAATGAGACCGCCCTACACTTACAGTAATGTGGGGCAGTGACAGTTCTTTATGTTTAACAGCGGCCAACCTCACTTGACCTCATGAGAAATCCTAACGTGCCTAAATGACAGGTCATGTATTTCAATTTGTTCTCAGTATGAACAAAAAGGTTCAGGATCCTGAAAGGTTGCTTTTTTGTTCCTTTTTTCAACCCCATAGTGTGAAGGTTTTATATTTATGCTCCCTGGTTTGTTTAACAGCCATGCACAATGCCATGAAGCAAGGCGAGCAATATTTTTGTGGAAAAACTTTGAGCCACATTTAGTGATACAGAACTCCAGAACTACACGCCATGGGGGCGTGTTCGAAATCAGCATTTTTATGCTTAGATAATTATATAAAAATACAATAAAATACAATAAAAGTCACACACACATAAAAATTGTGTTTAAACAATAAAGAAACATCCAACAAACCTCGGGAAGCAAAACATACAATTCTCATGGACTCTTGGCAAGACCCCCCCTTCCCCAACACTTCCGAGAATTGTTTTGTTTTTGTGTTTTTTTTTAAGCTTTTGTGTTTTTGGTTTTGCCAAGTGTTTGTTTGAATTTCTTAGTTTTTGTTTGAATGTTTTAAGACAATCTGTGCTGTTCCTATCTCGTTCAATTTCCAAGCAATTGAACCTAAGTCTCACCCAAAGTGATTTGTTCTTTCTTTTTACAATTGAAAGCGTTTGGGCCCAACACTCCCTTTGTCCTTGTCCAAATCTCTATGTAGAAGTCTGTGTGCATTGACTTCTGGTTGGTATCAGTGCTGTTGCATTTCCAAGCAGCTTGACACATGAAACTGTAATGAACATGTGGAAGTTGTAGCTGTGATTCATTCCTAATTCAATGTGTATATATATATATATTCAATTTAAATTCAAGGTTTCCTTTAGATCTCTGGCAATGATGACTTCTATATTGAAAAACTTTATCTAAAGAAGCATTCATTTTAAAAGCTTTCCTCCTCTGGATCTTTGGACAAGTAGATTTCCCATATATGTGTGCTTTCTTTATCTTTGTAATATGTTTTCGCAGTATCCGCTATGGAGGGCAGGCTACCACTTAAGAATGTTACTGAAGTTTATGGAACACCAAAACACATGCGCAGTATAGATGTTATAGTATGTTATAGATGTTATAGTGCTGACAGGCTGGGCCTTCTGCCGAGATGGATTGGATTTGGCATGCTCACACTACCCACCCCGCTGTGTATGCTGATGATTGCCGACGTCTTTTTGGCCACGTGATTCCGCACATCCCGTGCAAACGCTCGGATGCTCCAGTTGGAGAAGAGAAAGACGAGGGACAGGCTGGGGTTTGCATGGCTTGTTGCTTGTTGCCAACGCAAAGCTGATGACCTTTCGTTCTGACTTGTTCCTCAGGTTGCGATGGGGCAGCTCAACAAACTAATGCGCAGCAAGCTTCAGGCACTCGCCACGAAAGAGAAGGCCAAATTAGAGAAGGCTACACTTTGGCCGTTTCGGGATAGCAAGCTTGGCGCAGAGGATGATATCATCACTTTGGGATGCTTTATTCCAGGCCACTTGGCAGTGCAATCTGGAGTGAGATCGTTCCATTTGCTTTGACCCCTTGATTTGCCTGGATTAAGTTGTTTAACATTTCATAACATTTGTTCAGGCAACGGCACAAAATAGAGAAAATGAGAGTTTTGGGGTCGTCTTTTATGAGTCTGTGTTGGAGAAATTGGCATACACCTTCTTGATTGCACACGAAAATGGCTCGACAAACATAAGCCAATGCAAGTAGCATTCCTTGCTTTACTGAAACCTTGCAAGGTGGTGATCGCGAGTGGTTGTCAGGCAAGATCCGCTCCGTTGATGCAAGCATCGGAGAAGCTTTGTCTCGCAGCCTCAAGGAGCCCTTGGCTTGGGAGTGCCCACTTTCCACTGCAGCGCTTCAAAGAGATCCCGACTTGGTGGAAGTGATTGTTCGCTTGCTCTCAGGTGAAACTTTGCTGGAGAAAGTCATGACAAGGGATACCAAGATTGCTGAGATTGAGCGCTTGCTGAGATCTACAGGCGGCGAGCGTGAGGATCTCAAATTCTTTGTTGATGGCGCTCAGCTTGCATCAACAGATACCATTGGAGAGACGGATGTGGTCAACGGTGCTGTCATCAACATGGTTCGAGTCAAGAAGCCCAAGCCGAAGCCAAAGCCAGTGGCGGTTGTGCGTGCCGTCAGTTCTGACTCAGATGATTGGAGATGCACGTGCTTCACAAACGCGTGCATATTCCACGTCCTGAAGTCTGGCCGTCAGGTAAGCACAAAGATGCAAGATTTGCAGGAGGGAGATCTAGTACACACAGGTTCGACCGAGCTGGAAAATCGCTTCCGAAGGGTGACACGCATTTGGCGCTGCCCAGTGCCAAAGCACAAAGCCTTCACAGTGGAGTTACGGCCTGGCTGCCGTTTGACTACGGGGCATCCGGTGCAAGTGGCTGGACATTGGCGCCGGCCGGAGTCGTGTGGAAAGGTCGAGGAGACACAGGAGCCGTTTGTGTACACTCTTGAGCTAGAAGGGCATGTGGATACTGTGCTCGTGGGCCGAGATGAGAAGAAAGCAATGATGTGTGCAGCCTTGGGTGTGTATTGTGGTGAGAGTTTTGGGTGGAACTTGTTCACTAGAAAAACCAGACCTTGTGACAGCTTATCATGCAAAAAGTGTGAAGTGGCTGTC